TTAGTTTGTATAATAACTACAACTTACTACTATATATATATATATATATATATAGAAGTCAGTTAAAATTGGTGCACTGATTTCGAAATGTAGTAGTAATTTCACAGCACAGGAAACTGCGGTAATAACTAATGTTACATATCTTTTGTCTTTGCGACAGTAAAAAGCTGTAAGTCTTTATAGTGCGTTTCACATCGGGAGAACGAACGAAAGTAGTGGGATACCATACTGTTGATTGCTTCAATAATAACAATAGTACTTAAGAGATAACATAGTGCTACAAATACAATATAAACAATGTCGTGCAGTTATGCGGATGGCCTGTCCAAATATGAAAACAAAGGAATATGTGGTTTACCTGAGGTACTGTATCAACCAGCAGACACAATGACGTTTAACTTTTAAATGTATTATTAGTATTATTATTTTAACTGGTTTATGGAAAGATCTAATATTATGTGATATTGCTGATGCACCACTTGTAGTTGTAAGTTTTAAAATTATGTCATATGCAAATTTTAACAGTACATTTCATTTTTAATTTTACATTATTACCCTGTCGTAGTTAGTAAGTTAATGTATTATTAATATTAAATTAATTTAAAAAATAGAAATTCGATGAACTCTAATGTTTCTTTTATCAGAGAAAAAAATAACATTATGTGGAGAAGCAAGAAAAAACAAAGAAACAAACGATAATATGCATAAACTAAGGAAACAGACTCACCAGAGTTTGACAGAGGTTAAATAAAAGTAAATTGCAGTTTAACCTTAATATTATTTGGCCTAAGTTAAATGGTACATTCTGTGGAGAATGATAAAGAGCACAATATATTTTACATAGATTAAGCATAAACTTACAAATTATAAATGCATTTCACTCTTGGTAGCCATTGCAATTTGTATATCCTAGACAGTTAGTGTTAGAGAAAGTATTTAGGGCTTCTAATTAAACCATTTTATCATGTGACATTCTGTAGTGATTGTATTTATACACAAGATATTTATATTCAGGACATACTAATTTTGGTGTATTAGAATAAATATGTGTAAGTATATTCATACATTTTAATTTTATCTGAAGATATTACTTTTCTCATAGTAAAAAAAACTTAATTATTTTGCTTATATATGTCTGTGGTTGTTCTGTAGTAAATTTAAATTGATATTTGTGGTAAGTTATAGTGATATCACTGAAGTAATACATTAATATTTTATATTTAACAGGTACATGACCAAGAGGATGATCTGACAATAAAAGTTATTCAACTTGTTCAGTGGATTCGAGAGTCGAAGCATGTGGTGGTACACACTGGAGCTGGTATTAGTACAGCAGCAGGAATTCCAGACTTCAGGTATTGATAAATAAATTTATTAAAAAATTTTTGGAAAAAGTTTCTCACTTATATTTTATAATGTTGAAAAATGAACCAATTCCTCACCTCATCTTTCTTTTAAAATAAATAAATATTGTAATAGTAATTAATATTTTAATAAATAACCTTGAAAAAGTATAACTATTATTTTAATGATATTGATAAAAGACTTTTGTTAATACTATATGTAACACCATTACCTAAAATACACCTTAAATTATGTGATTAATTTTACAAAATCGAATGCTAATGAATTGTTTGTGGTATGTATTGAGCTGTTTTAGGCCTACTCTGCAATATCACTGGAGTTGTTCAAAGTCAAGGTCAAAATACTTTTAATATGTTTACCTGTTCTGCATTTATGACTGTTTCTTATTCTTAAGGAACAATTTTGGTGATTTTCAGTTTAAAATGTGCCATTTATTACTGTCTACACCTTTGCCACTGATATTTTGGGTGTATAATGCATATTAATAAAATTTTGCCAATGATGTGACACCATTATATTGGTGCAGGGTAGGCTGACAACACCTCTCCATACCACAACAGAGTTCTTTTACCTCTCCATTTTTGAATTTTTTTTCTGGTAGTGGACTTTTTAATCATCTGATGTGTGTGTGTTTATTTATACATGTATATATCTATGTGTGTGTGTGTATACATCCATATTAGGGAGAATGATGTGATATCCTGAGACTAAGCATGTCATAAATCTGTAGTACATACTGGAAGGAAAACTATTCCCAGTTTGCCCCTGAAGAAGAAAGGTCCACCTTTCGAAAGCGCTCGAGTTTTAGGGTTTTTATTCAATTCTGTAATAATATTAAAAGACATTTACTTGAAAAACCTAATTGTCTGAATTTCATGAGTAGTGCATACCAACATATGTGGTGCGTGTGTCTTTTAAAATGCATTTAAGTCCATTTTTCTTATACTAACAAGTTATCAATATCGAAGTCAGGATATATGCTAGTTTTGTATTAGCAATGAATAAGACATTTGACATAACTGTGAGAGTTTGTTTTAATTGGGCACCAAAATATGATATTGTTGAAATAAAGATTTTAATGTATTTAAAAAACAATATTAACAACACCATACTTTATAAATTAAATGGGTCAACTTTTATGAGGGTATATATATGTTTATAGGTATTAATTATCAAAGGTGTATTTAAATCATGTAGTTTAAAAATGTAAAAAAGATGTTTACATTTTCTGACAAAACCATGCTACTTACAATTTATAATATAGTCATTCAGTGATACATTCATAACTTATCTTCTACCAGTTACGTTAAAATTCAAAACTTTTTAAGTAACACACATTTGTACATTATCACTAATAAATATTCTTTGTCATACATATTATACTTTCATATGTTAAACAGGAAAGTTTTTGTAAGAGAGTACCCATTTTGATTTAGAAATAGTAATAATCTTACTGAATTAGAGAATTAAGAAATAGTAATAAATGTTTATAGTGAAAAATATACAATAATGGTTAAGAGTATTGGTATTTAATGGTTACTTGTATGACATTATTTTCAAAATTTAAAATTGTTCTTCATTTTTGAAAGAATCTATTTTGTAGTTATAGTGGCAGTTAATTAGCTTACTGAAAATGTGCAACGATTATTGTTTCTCCTGTTTATAATTTTTTAAATGACAGTTCATGTTCAAATTGATGTATTTCTTTTTTACACATGACAGTGTTATTTATAAGTTATATTATCTTCATTAAAAATGTCATAATATCAATTAAAAACTCTTTAGCAGAAATAAAATATTCCCTATTTACAAAACTCCAATAATAATATCAATGTGTAGAGGAGCAAATATTATTTAGAAATATAATTTATGCTTTTGTTTTTTTCAAAAGCATGAAATGCTTTTTACATAATCAAAAATGTGTTTCTGCAATTTCATTTTGTACTTATAAGTACAATGTTTTTACAAAGGCATTGAAAAATGAATGCATTGGTAACTTATAAAAATGTATTAGTATGTATTAACAAGCACATGTACATTTATTATAATTCTAAATAAAGATTACAAAATATTTGAACTTTACAGCTGTATAAGGTATCAATATCAGTGCTATGTACAATTAAAGTATATTATACTCTTTAATCATACCAGTGTCTTTGAATACCTTTTATTTGTTGCATCATGCATTAATTGCACACAAAAAATACATTTGTACATTTAGGTAAACATAGTTCCTTTAGGGATTTAAAGGTATAATGAAAGTAATGAATTGTTGATTTCTAAACAGAAATTAGATTCTTTATTTCCATTGAAAGATGAGGAAACAGTGCAGGATTAGGTCATTAAGTTTGCAAAACTGAAAAATATTTGATTGAGGTTTTGATATATTTCTGCTAATTTTTCATTATTTATTTATTTCACAATTTTTATTTTATTTGTTTCCTATTACACATTCACCTCGTATGATGGCAAAATCTGCAGTATCATGTTCTGAACTTGACGTTTTTAAAAATTCAGTTATGGTGTCTAATATTGCACATCAATATGCCTTTTCATTCTGAAATTGGAATGTATGAATAGAATGTACAGTACTTTGCAATGAATTTAAGAACCTTTCTATCATACAATTTGGTGGCATGTAAATTGACATTTCACCATTAATGTAATTAATCAATGCTGTTTATACATTCAAAGCTTAATTCACTCTTAGTTTATTCATGAATTTTTGAAAGAAATTAGAAATAAGAAAAATTTAGCAAAATAGACTAATACTTTTGGTAAGAACATTTTATTTTCAGTGATAATGAGAAATGTAGTCGAATGTATAAAGTGAGGCCTAACTAACTTTATTGTTAACCAAGAGTTACACAGTAGATAGTTTAAACTTTGGTTTTTTCCTAAGAAAAATGCAATGAATTCCATAGTAATATATTCCTTGACAAGTACAAATAGTGCAAAAGTAAAGTGTAAAGTAGCTGATCTAAACCTGGTTTAAAAATAGAGCTGTCCGAGTGGCAAAATTGATTACTCACGAGCATTGATTAATTGCATGTAAAAATAATCAACTAATCAAAATTAGTATTTCCAAATATTCCAACTATCCAGTAGTCAAAATATTGCCATTATTATTTTTGATCGATTTAAGTGTGTTCAGCTTAATCGAGTAGTGTAACAACTTGTGAAAATAATCAATTTATCAAAATTAGGGCTTTCGATTTATTCCAGCTCCCCAACTAATTGATATATTGTCATTATGTTTTTATGTTTTTAAGTGCAAAGATATACAATGGGTTATCTGTGCTCTGTCCACCTCTAGTTTTAAAACCTGATTTTTTTTTTTCATGTTGTAAATATTTTTTTAGCAATTTCATGAGAATAATTGATTAATTGAATCTAAGAGATTAATGAATCTGACAACTAGTCAGTTAGCAATTTCCACTAATCATGCAGCTATTTTTTAAAAATCAGAGTTTTTCCTTCTAGTTAGGGATATCCGTGTATATGACCATACATTCTGCATTTCATTATTATTATTATTGTATATATATATGTACTTATAGAGAAAGCTGTAAAATTTCTTGTATAAAACTTTAACAACTATTCAAAATGATGAGGTGAAATAAGAAAAATAATTTACATCAAGAAGCAAATTCAGGCTTATAAAAAACCCTTTGTTTTATGTTGTTAATTTTTGTAATAGTTTCAATAGTTTAGTCATTAATAAACAATGATTGTTGTAAAAGATGAATATTTGAGAAAATTTCATTCTTCTTGGAGTTTTTCGAAATCTTCCACTTAAAAGGCAAATTAAAAAAATAAATTCTATTTCTCTATTCAGAGGACCAAATGGTGTGTGGACTTTAGAAGAACAAGGAGAGAAACCTCAGATCAACATTTCATTTGATTCTGCCATTCCAACAAAAACTCACATGGCTATAGCAGAATTTGTAAAGCTAGGATTAATTCACTTTGTAGTGAGCCAAAATGTAGATGGTTTACATTTGCGCTCAGGCCTTAATCCAGAGAAATTTTGTGAGCTTCATGGTAACATGTTCCTAGAAAAATGTAAACAGTGTCAGAGGTAAGAAGATTATATAGAGATGTATATTAAGTTTTACATTTTTTAGTGTGATATCAGTAATATGTTAGTTCTTTACTATATCTCTTTATTTCAGTTACTACATTATCTATGAATTTAAAAACATTTCTATCATATACGTTGGTGTCATGTACATTAACATTTCACCATTAATGTAATTAATCAATACTGATTACATGTTTAGAGCTTAATTCACTCTTAATCCATTAAAGAATATTTGAAAAAAATTAAGAATACAAAAATTTAGCAAAATGAACAAATATTTCTAGTAGGAACATTTTGTTTTCTCTGAATTCCATAGTAATATATTACATGACATAGAGCTGTCTGAGTGATAAAATTGATTACCTATGAACATTAAGTAATTTCATGTAAACATAATCAATTGATCAAATTATGATTGAAGTGATTAATGTCACAGAAATAATCTGTGCATTTTAAATTTACAGTATACAAATATATACTAGCCATCAAATGCTAGCAGAAGTTATTTTTATTGATTGAGATACATTTAACCTAGTATGTACACTTTCTACAGTAGTTTGTGCCACTATAATTACATAATTAAAATGACTGCCCACTGTAATGCAGTCTGGAATGATGATCATTGTAAGGGTTGCAGATTGAGAAATTAAGTATAGTTTTACAGAATCAATAAATACACGTCATTAATAAAACATTTCTTAAAATATGAATTAAATTTGGATTCCTTGGTAGTGAATTTCGGCGTTTAGAACTTAATTTTTGAATCTGCAGGACTGTCATTGTTGTAAGTTGATACTTTCCCTATAAGTCTTTTATTTTGATGTTTTCTTATAAATTAACAAATGTATAAGCTAATAAAAGTTTTGAGACAACTTGACTGAGTTATGAAAAATTATTATAAATGTATGTCGTTTCAACAAGATTTTTGTCATTCTCAGGTACCTGACAAAATCTTGTTGAAATGTCGTACATTTATAATAAAGTTTTTCGTTACTCAGTCAAACCATCTCAAAACTTTTATTTTCTAAAAAGAGGTTCCTCATTATTAAATGTATAAGTTGTAATCCAGAAGGTGTCAGTTACTTGCTTTATGTGGGCTCCCATTGGCTCAATGGTATGTCTGAAGGCTTATAATACTAAAAAGTGTGTTTCAATTCCCATGGTGGGTACAGCACAAATAGCCCATTGTGTAACTCTGTGCTTAACAACAAACAAAACAAAACCTTGTGGGGAATTCTTTATTGCATATGAGCAGACATCTAAATGAAGAATTATCTTAAGACTGATGAGAAAAATGTTTAACTTTTAACTACTAGGGTGGCATCTGTATGACTCAAAAGCAATTTTATTTTGTTAATAACCAGTTTTTATATTTGTAATAATAGTGAGATACTTCATATTTTTACATACAGCTTTTAGAAGCTTTTGACTACAACAGTATACTGTTTTAAACAAATCCATTTAAAAAGATATTTTGGAGTATGTGTGCCCATAATGCTTGTAATGAACAATAATCTTTCACTTTTTTGCTTATCCATTTAGGTTTTGCTTATATTGGATTAATAATGATTAATTGAAATTAATAGTAGTTACGGTTTTTGAGTTCTTTGTACTAAGAGGTTGCCAATGCTTTTATGATAGTCTTGCTAGTACCAAGCCAATACACTTTCTGGCTATTCCTTTTCAGCTGTTGGATAGATGTCTGGATTTCAAGTTCTTGATACAGTTTACTTTTTCAAGTAGCACTACTTCATGTGTATTATTATATATATATATATATATATATATATATATATACGTAGTAGGTAGTAAGTTATTATACTT